GGTATACGAAGTCCATTCATTGAAACGCCGCACTATCGTTTCATTGTACAAATGGGACGGGGCGATTCCATCAGTGTTGACAGTTCATTGATGAATACATAACCTAACAATCTTGACACATTTGTCATTTCGTTATCCCCACTATTTCGGAGCGTATAACACCGAATAAAAACCTGGTGCATGGGGACAGGGGATTTCAAAAATGAGTAGCGCAGGCACAAAACATATACACTGAAAGAATGCTAACTCAGTGTAATTCAAACAGCAACACGAATGTGGCCACGGCCACGTTTTCGTGGTGATGAAAATATGACAGAGAACGTCTGTCTACTCAGAATAATTCGACAAATGACATATGCCGCCATGTTTCTTACAATGACATACGGCGGTGCTATCATGGTTGCCTACTTTCTAACAACATCTGTCCGTCACTGCAATTTTTATTTGGTAGTTTTGAATGGTTTCCCTAATAACAAAAATTAATTTTGCATTAGGAAAAACAATTCAAACACCTCACGTGTATTTGTGATTGGGTTCGTTCAAGAGTGATAAATAAAACAATATAATTAGGAAAATAACTTTATTCTGGTAGATAACGTAATGTAGTGCATTTGCAATATAGTGCAATGAAGAATCAGATACCCCCATGGGGGGTTTCTGAATAATAATTCCAATATACAATCATAAGGAAACTACAAAAAAACCATGATACCACACTCAACCAACATTCAATAACAAAAATATTGTGAAATCTGTAAAGGGTACAAGATTTCGTTAATCAAACATAACATTATTTTTCAGAATAAACATTAATTTGCAAAATTTTACATTTTACATTTATTTTACATGAATAAAGCCTGTATGTATATGGTACAGGCCATATATAGTAATTTAATAACTCAACATAGAATTCTAAAAAATAAAAACAATTCTATCACAATATGGTAAAAATGTCCTGGTCAGGAATGTCACAGCCGGGTTTGTGATGGTTCATCCATGGAGGTACATAAAGTAATTAAAAAACCAGCAGCAAATATTCGAAAATGATTTACCTGGTGACATTCAACTTTTTCATTTTCCTTGAAGGACCATCCGATGTTTCAAGAGGTCTTTTCAAAGAATTTTTATGTTTAATATACTAGAAGATTGTCAGTCTGATGCATATTTGTTAATGATATTTTTGAGGACATCATGAAAATTGCAAGGCTGAAAATTTTCAAGCAGTTGTGTCAGACCTGTTTTGAAGGAACCTTGAACATCGAGTAGATGACTTAGTTTGTCATTTGCATATGTCAGCCTCTGCTTGTTGTCCTGTTCCTTGAAATGAACATACAACTGTAATGGGTCAACTCATGAGAGAACACCCGACATGTAGGGCACTGGGGGATGTTAACATCACTTTGTGTTGATACATTTTAGATTCCCTATCTGCTAATTGACTTTTACTTACTTCTAATTGTGTAAGGCATGAACTCGAAGTGTCTGACAAATGTATATTTATCTTGATAATGAGCTTGTACCACAAAATCTGGCTTAGAATAGCAGTGATCGTGTTCAATTGTACTTACATCTGTCAAGTCTTTGGTACTTCTTTTGGTAGGCAATTTACATGTCTTTCTGCAGAAGTTGAATGAGAATCACAAATGCTTGCTGAGAAACCTACAGAGCATTCCTTCATTGAAACTGTAATATCAGAATGACTAATTTGTTGAATAGAATTTGACCATCAACATCTTTTGGAACTGCAAGACAGTTCAAACGTGAATAGGGATCCTGAAGGGAAACAAGATCAGACTGTACAAACTGGTCTTCGCAAACATAGTTATCAGATTTTGTTCTGGAAGCTAATCCACAGGCATTGTATCATAATAATTGCCTTTGACTGGGATTTTTTGGGAATCGATGAAATTTCTTGGATGGGGGATATGAATGACTTACATTCAATATGTATTTATTTTGGCAATAAGGATGGTCGTGTCAATTTCTTGCTTGTTTCTGCCTTAGTAGTATCAAAAAGATTTAAGTGAATAATAATAAATGCCCCGGAAACTTAACAATATTATCAGAATCAATAATCAAATTCAAGCGAATAACCAAAATTTCCCTATTATGTACCGCGGTTATAATAATCAAATCCAAGCGAATAACCAAAATTTCTGTGTTATGTGCCGCGGTTACAATATGGTTCAAGATGACACACGGGTTGATGACGTCAGTTACACGAATCGCTTGAACGCGTTGGTTTTAACCGCGGTTTTGTTCCAAGTTGTTTATTTTAGAAAAGCGCGTATGTAATCTGTGATTATTTTTATTATCACTTAATAATCGGTGCTTTTTCGTCTACAACTGTATATGGAAAGTTTAAATAAGAAACCTTTCATAATATTCATGGGAGAAATGTTTTTTTCAGATTTATTTTTAATGATGAAACCATGGCTTTGTAGCTATGATTCTCTAAATTTTTCCGCATGTCAAAGAAAACATTTATTGATTCAGCAGAAATGATGAAAAAAGAAATTAGCAAAACCGTATACAGGTGGATATCATCTAGTGAGTTTATATGGCCATATTTTAATATTCTTGTGGTATATGGCTACACAGGATACTTTGTTAAGCATAGGAACTACATTTAAAATGTCCCCAACAAGCGTAATGAGTATAACTAATAAGGTGCTCCACTTTATGGTAAAACTGAAGTCAGCCTGTATCATTTTTCTCAAAAATGAAGCTGAAGTACAATAACAATATCCAATTCCCGGCAAAATTCTATCTTGTCACATTTCAAATAATAACCAGAAATATAAAACTACTCTTGAGTTGGGTAAATACCACAATTTTGCGGTGATAACTATGACATATAACAGCTGATTCGTGACGTCACGGATCTTATAACCAAACTGATAACTACACTTGCTTGAACGGATTGGTAAATACCAACCCAAAATGGTAAATACTATTTCCATTTGGTTATCCGCTTGAATTTGATTAATAATGTCATGTATTTTTAAACCCACTCCAATCTTGAAACATGGGTGACAGAAAATGGAACTGAAAATATTGAAAATCATTTCTTGAAACACACAATTTATAAAAAAATGTAGGCACAGAGGAACCGAGTGGAGTGAGATAATTTTACTCAGGATTTTTTTTCAAGTTGGACATAAACGCATGCTTAATTAAGGGTTTGATGACATACTGTATATTCCAATAAATATCAAAAGTAAAACTGCTCTATGTCATTATCACATCTTACCTATATTAATTATTTCGGAGCAGCATTGTTCCAAACCACTCGCCACATTTTTTGCGGTAAAGCAAAAATGACAGCTTGATACCTTGACAGCGGTGACGTTGAAGAAAGACGTATGAAAGACAATAATCAAATCCAAGCGAATAACCAAAATTTCTGTGTTATGTGCCGCGGTTATAATATGGTTCAAGATGATACATGGGTTGATGACGTCAGTTACACGAATCGCTTGAACGCGTTGGTTTTAACCGCGGTTTTGTTGCAAGTTGTTTATTTTAGAAAAGCGCGTATTTAATCTCTGATTATTTTTATTATCACTTAATAATCGGTGCTTTTTCGTCTACAACTGTATATGGAAAGTTTAAATAAGAAACCTTTCATAATATTCATGGGAGAAATGTTTTTTTCAGATTTTTTTTTTTAAGTATGGAACCATGGCTTTGTAGCTATGATAACTTTCAATTCTCTAAATTTTTCCGCATGTCAAAGAAAACATTTATTGATTCAGCAGAAATGATTAAAAAAGAAATTAGCAAAACCGTATACAGGTGGAATCTATCATCTAGTGAGTTTATATGGCCATATTTTAATATTCTTGTGGTATATAGCTACACATTTAAAGTGTCCCCAACAACCGTAATGAGTATGGTAAAACTGAAGTCAGTCTGTATCATTTTTCTCAAAAATGAAGCTGAAGTACAATAACAATATCCAATACCCGGCAAAATTATAACTTGTCACATTTCAAATAATAACCAGAAATATAAAACTACTCTTGAGTTGGGTAAATACCACAATTTTGCGGTAATAACTATGACATATAACAGCTGATTCGTGACGTCACGGATCTTATAACCAAATTGGTAACTACACTCGCTTGAACGGATTGGTAAATACCAACCCAAAATGGTAAATACCATTTCCATTTGGTTATCCACTTGAATTTGATTAATATTGATAGTGTTGCCGGCCGTTTTTTCACCACGAAAAACGTTGCCAGATTTCCTGTGTTGCACCTTGTCAGGCCTCAGTTGACTCCACGTGGTTAAGAACTGCAGGGTTATTACGTAAAAAATCTATATAATGTCAAAAAAACAACAAAATGTGAACCTGCTGACTAGATAGCTGCTGTAGGGTCACCTATGGGGGAATGACTCAACTACACGACACGCTCAATTACCATGCTGCAAGCCAGTTCCCCATCATGCTTTGTAGGTTGCAGAAGGCCGAGATAGTCTGTAGAGTATACTAAGAAGATATGTGGTTGAGTAGCAGAATAGCAAGATCACATCTGGATGATTGTATGTATTAGTCTGCATGTGTATAAAATCAGTGATATTTGCTATGTGAGAAAATTATTACTGAATATGGTGCCCATGAAATAATATATCTATCAGGTGGGCCGGACGGGTTATTTGTGGTGGTGTCCTTTCTGAAGAGAGATTATGGTCATAGTTATACATTACGATTTCCCCCTTTTTGCGTTTTCAAAAACTTTACGGGAAATCAGCACTGCGTTGGGTGTAATTAAGACACAGGAATGACGCATCACATACAAAACATTTTCGCGCTGCATCGGAAAATAAATTTCGCTTAAATTTATATGACTGGAAATAAAAATTAATGTGAACTGTAATAACTTCTTTACGTTTCATAAATATTCCTGTATGTACCATATTTTCTCACCTGAGATTTAATTTTCTTCACCAACCAGGAATTTTCTTTTCTTATCACTCTATTTTTAGAAATCGGCAAATTTGCATATGTAATTTCCAGGTTGAATAAGAAAAAACCTGTGCGCAACTAATTTTTAACTTTGCATACATCTCAAGTGAGTGTGTTTGAGACTTGAAGTCAGTGGAAGTAACGTCACTTTTCAGGTTACGTAATGCCTAATACCCCCTGTGGGAATTCTGTATGTCCATCTGGCAACGCTGCTTACTGTTATAACCCCCATCTACCACATCATTCTAAAAAACTTACGTAAGACGTAAGCAGAAGTAATTAAGTTGTATGTTACTCATGTTCCAGCCGGTTAAGTACACGATGTTCCTAAGTAAGATCGGCCCCTTGAAGACCCGTTGCCCCACAGAATTGGGCATTATATTCAAAGTGGCCCCAGCTGTCTCGGTATCCTGTAACCAGAGACGTGGTTATGCTGATCATATGATGCCCGAGCGACTAAAAGATATGGCCACCAAGTCCAACCCTAAGTTTTTCGACATGATAGAATATTTCTTCCACAAGGCTTGCCTACTTGTGGAAGACAAGTTGGTGGAAGACTTGGGCAAAGTGAAGGGCTCCAAGTTGAGCCTTGAACAGCGCAAAGCGAAAGTTAAAGGTATCTTACATCACATGGAGCAGTGCGATAATGTTCTGGAGGTAGCCTTTCCTATTAAAAGAGACAATGGCGATTATGAGATCATCAGCGGTTACAGAGCTCAACACAGTACTCATAGGACACCTTGTAAAGGAGGTAAATTTTGAAATCATACTCACTCGTAATAATAGTTATTTATAACATGAATGAAACCACATGTATTTGAAATTCTTTAATGTATATGTCTTGGTTACAATGGTACCTTCTCTAGTACATGCCACTTGCTTGACAATATTTTATCTGTCTGACACCGTATTTATTTTTTCTTTTCATTTTCATATACCTAAACAGTATTAATACAATAGTCAAAATCTCTGTCACATGCCAAGATTGTGTGAAGCCATCATTCCAAATTTTAAGATAGCACCATGCAAAACCAGCATAGCCCAGGACCACCTGGGGTATGCATAACCACTCCCAAAATGATGCTTAACCCTCCCCAAACTGACAAGCAAGCATGAGGTTTGATTTTTTAATGTATTTCATTTTTCGGCAATTTGCACATCAGATCATGTTCTTGACAGCTTGTGGCTTCATGGTTACCTGAGCATTTGTAGCAACATGTGTGCTGTTTGCAGTACTTAGCAATGTGGCCAAAATTTGAGCATTAACACATTCACCGCCAGGGCGGACACCAGTGTCCGCTGCATTGTCGGCTTATTACGCCAGGGAGGACACCGGTGTCCGCCAGGTTTAAAAATCAATATGTCCCCGGAAATCCTAAATCTCATAAATGTCTTGATATTAAAGTATTATTTTTGGCCTCTAGAACGGTCTTCTGACCGTGGTTTTCTAAAGAAGTGTTTTGTTAAAATTTTTTGGAAAGTGTCCGCCACGGTGTCCGCTGTGGCGTGTAAAAAAGTTTTAGAAGCATCTGTACTCAAGGCGCCAGAGCGGTCACATTTCTTTCCATAAAAATATAGACTACACAACTACACTCAGGGTTACTAAAACTTTACTAATTTGTTGAAACAAACATTTTTAACATTTTTTTTCGTACAAAAGATGTTCAAAAAATTCTTCCTTATAGAGTGTTATATGAATACATTACATAACAAACATTTCAACATATTTTTATGCCTACAAAAAAAATGGCAGAAAGTTCCTATTTATTATGGCCCTTATTAAAACATTCCAAACAGTATCGAGGTTGATCTGGACAAGTTTTACAATAAGTGGTAACTTTTTTTTCTTTGTTTTTCGGTATTTCATTTTTTAATTTCTTCTTATAGCAACCCCTACAGTACCTTCTTCCGACTCTTGAGTTTCCTGGCTGTTTCTCAAATGCATGTGTTTTTTTTGAACATCGGGATCAGTCAATGGTCTATCTAGGAGCTTATCAATTATGGCTTCACGAAATTCTAACAAACTTATTTTATTTCCTGCGACTTCCTCATACAGCAAATGAGAATTGACAATCGCAGTGCCCAGTATAATTTCAATGGCAATTTTGTGGTACCATTTAACGGTTTTTCGTACGCAAGATCCATAGCTTGCAAATTGATCTGAAAGATCAACTGAAGATTTGCCTTTGTTATAGTCAACTACCATTAAGGGCTTTACTATTTCTTTGCCTCTTATTTGTATTGTCACAGTTTCATTGAAATAATAAGTGGAAAGCATAAGCGCATCCCTCTTATCTTTCCATTTTAGGATAGAAATTCCATTTTCTACTTGCTTTGCTTTGATTTCTCCTTTTTTTAGCTTTGCGCCAACAACTTCTTTTGGGTTGCCCCTTCTGTTTGCTCTTAAAGTCCCCATCAAATTAGTTCTTCTTTGAAGTAGTTGGTTTGCAAGATCTATACTTGTGTAATAATTATCGGTTACAGCCATGCGTCCAGTATCTAAAAGTTTTTCACTAAGTTCTAAGACAACCTTGGTAGGGATTGAGTTATTTTGGTCAGCTTCTTTTCCAGAATAGATTTTCATGTTCCATGTGTAACCTGGTCCTGCGCATAATTTGAAAATTTTCACGCCGTATTTATGGGCCTTATTAGGAATGTATTGTTTAAAAATTAATCTGCCTCGGAAGGGTATTAAACTTTCATCTATGCAGAAAACTCTAGCTCGTGTATAGAACATTTGACTGTTGCATATGAATTTGTCCACTAAAGATTGCACTTTATTTAGTCGACTATTTGAATCATTAGACTGATTATCCGAAAAGTGAAGCATAGTTAATATTAGCTCGAAGCGATTTCTTGGCATGAATTTTCCAGAAATCTGGTTTTTGTATTTGGAATTAGTACTCCAATATCTCTCCAAAGTGGGCATTTTTACCAAACCCATATAAGCAATAATACCAAAAAAATTTTTTATTTCGGATACAGTGGTTGGAGTCCATGAGTGAAATTTAGATGATTTTCCAAAATCTGAATCTTCTGACATCAAGCGCTGAGAAGCAAATAAATTTGTTTGTTCAACAATCATTTCAAAAATCTCATCGTTTATCAAGAGATTATAGAAGTCATGGGGTTCTCCTTCTCCAAGCAAACTTATTATAGCCTCGTTGATACAGTTGCCGGGGATGTATTCAAAATTATTTTGATGAATCGAAGGAGGTCCATCATCGTAATTAATTTCTTGAATAGACTTTCTGGAAACAGGACTGGGTACAAAGTCCTGCATTTCATTTTGATTTTGAAAAGGTGAAAACTCCATGTAACCTGGACCCCCGTCATTGCTTTCAGTGTCACTCCCATTTGGTGAATAATTTTGATCTCGAGAATCATCAGAGTCATGGTACGTATCTAGAAAGAACCTGAAAGTATATAGTTTTTACCCAGCACATCAGCACAGTTATTCTATTCAATTGGAAATTTAATTATTTTCGATGAATAAATAGTTAAGGAATTGAAGCTTTGAACTTGAGTATAACAAGTAGACGTAATACTCCATCGAAGTTTCTTTTCATCGCACGTATTCAGGGCCTTTCCTTGTCACAAGTATGGAATTGCTTCAAAATAAATAACAATACAAAGCTACTAGTAGAAAAACAGTAACCTTGAATATATGGTATTCCAAATATAACCAATGAATCAGGTATTACGAGTAACCCCTGGTGAATACAGTAAATCTCTATTTTTATATTAAACGACAACCCCGTACAAATAAGTGAACATTAGATTAGCTATCCAAATTTTTTTTTTTGCAAAAATATTGCATGCGCTAAATACCACAGAGTACGTGTTATCTACACTACTATTTTATGGAAATACTATAACATAAATAAAAACGTACCTTCCATGTCAAAATCACTATCAGAGTCTTCATTCCACAAGGGACATGATATGTCTTGTTCTACTGCTCATTATGACTTTCGTATCGAACAAATTAGAATAAATACGCGGAAAACCAATGACAAGTAACGTCTACCAAACTAGGTTATGCCATACTGAGCATAGGAAGGTATTTCGCACGAGATGCGCCTCGTGTCCGCTGACTAATTTGTGTCCGCCATGGCGTGGCCAAATGGAAAAAAATTGTCCGCCCTGGCGTGATACGACCGAAAAATTATTTTTTTACGAACGGCGCCAGGGCGGACACCAGTGTCCGCTGAATCGCTCTTATGGGTGGCGTACTGGGAAGTTTTATGAAAATCGACTTGGCGGTGAATGTGTTAAAACAGATTGCCAAATGTATGTGTTCTTTACCAATTCGAAGTTTTATAAGTCTGACCAAGTTTTAAGAACCACTTAGCAATTTCGGGCGGTGCTTGTAAAATCTAGTTTGCTTTATGTGGATTACTACAGTTTTCCTTTGTAACGACCTTGATTTTATCTGTGGCACTATATTTTAATTCAGCTTCAATTTCATTATTCAGCCTTATGAGCTCAATTCCTGTGACCATGATCATAGGGTCGATTCCATCTGATGTTTTGATTGTTATGTCTTTCTTATCTTTCATTCTTTGAAGGTGTTGTTGGCTTTTAGTGGGGATTTCTACTATTACTTCTCCTGATTGTAATTGCCTAATATTTTTGAAGCTTCCTTCAGTATCCTTTTGCGTCAACTCTTGTTTAAGTCTACTTATTACCACCTTAGCATTATCTGTTTTTTCCAGTCTTATGATTGTCTCAGGTTTCCGATTTTCTGGTGGAGTCCTCCATGGTTCTTCCACTTTGCTTTTTGGCTCTTTGGTTGTACTTACTGTCTTTTGGCCTACAATACTGACAACTTCTTGGTTGTACTATTTGAGGTCTAGTAGTCTCTTGATTTCCTTGCACATTAGATAGGCTTCCACTTACCTCTGCGTGTGTATACTTTGGCTGGGTGTTTTCTATTCTAAATGTTAACACTACATTCTCTTTTTCTGACACACCCTGGGTCAGTAGTTTTTGTATTTTCCTAGGGGCGTGTACGATGCATGTGTTATCTTGTGTGTTGAAAGGAGTTAGCGTCATGTCTCTATCGATGGGCATTCTTATGGTATCACTTTCATCAAAAAAGTTTTGAATCCATAATTCTTCCGTCATATAGTTTGTCACTTCATGGCACAGCCTTTTCCGCCCATGGACTAGATTGCGACCTGGGTCTTTTTCAATGTTAGGGTAGTGTTCCGCAAAAATGACCCCGACGCTTGGATGGTATTCTTGGCTTACTCTAGGTGGAGTACGAGAAATTGAGGATTTTGGTTTGAATATTGCGTCAACATCATACGTTGTATCACTTTTGCTATCTGATTTTGAAATACCACCTTTTACATTTCTTTCATGCAGGCTTACAATTTCATGACTGCCACACCTTTTTGCACCTGTTGTTTTTTATTGGGAACCTGTTCACTGCCTAAGATTATTTTATTTATCTTTTCTTTTTGTAAGGTAAGTGTGCTAAGTGAGCTACTGCTGCCCCTTTTTTCAGTTCTTTAAAATATGAATCCATTCTTCAGGTTGGATGAAGTTGTGTACAACAGTACATTCCTTTCAAACACACTAACACCACTTTGCAATAGATTATTTGCACTAGGAACTTCAAAAAACGATAGCGACTAAAACACGTCTAACCATAAGGGATACACGTACTATATTAATATTATTATTATTATTATTATTATTATTATTATTATTATTATTATTATTATTATTTCTTTTAAATTTCTCAGCTCTTGATTGTTGGTGGATGGATTACTTTCTTTGTCAGAACCGGGGGTATGCCTTACCCCTTAGGTTAGACGTTACGTTATGACTTTTCTAATAATGTGGGCTGTACCGAATTTGGCCACAGTTTGAAGTTGGTAAGGGTTTAAGGTACCTGAGATTGCCTTTACATGTGCGTCAAAATTCTTAGACACCGCTCCTGTGGAACCTATTATAATTGGTACTATGTGCGTACGCATTTGCCACATTCTGTTTATCTCAATAGACAAATCCCGGTACTTTAGAAACTTTTCAGCCTCTTTGTCTTTCACATTGTATTATTATTTTTATTTATATTTATTTACCTTGAAGGATTAGGTGCAGCAGCAAAAATGTGAGAATGGAAGGTAGTTATGAGTTTATTGAAATCTACACCTAATTAAGAACAGATATAAAATTTTTTATTTTCCTCAGGTGTTTATGTTTGTTTTTAATTTGGTTCTATCATCGACAAGGTGGATTTATGATACTTATTTCAAATTGGCTAATTTTCGGTGCAGTTTTATGAAAATGCTTTCTAATTGGTTATTGTTTATCCGGATCATAGGTTTTGATCTTCAAGTGGAAAAATACATTTTTTAGCTAACTAGATTTATTAATAATTTCTTGAATTAATATGGGGATTAGAGGCCCTCCTTACACAACTCGTATATTTTTTAGTTAGACAGATATTTTAAAAGAAATCGAGTATAATAATATTCATTTGATTCATTACTACAAAGACTTCTTCTCATTATTGGACTATTATGATCCGGATCAAGATTTTAGATTCTGCGAATCTATAGTAAAACTGGGCATAAGAACCCTTCAGATGCTTTTGTCTTTGTCGGCGAGTCTCCTGGTGGGATGGGATGGGTTGACTGAGTAGTCTGTAGTTTTTGTGAAGAATGAAACACTTGAAAATGTGTATGTGTTTTTATGAAAAATAATACATTAGGGTTAGAGACAATATTTGACAGCTATTGGATAAGAGATAATATGAACTTAATACATTCAAAATGTGTTTCCAGGAATGCGATTTTCTATGGATGTCTCACGTGACGAAGTAAAAGCCTTGGCAGCCTTGATGACCTTCAAGTGCGCATGCGTGGACGTGCCTTTTGGCGGTGCCAAAGCTGGAGTACGCATAGACCCCAAAAAGTATTCAGAACATGAACTGGAGAAAATTACCAGGCGATTCACCTTAGAATTGGTCAAAAAAGGATTCATAAGTAAGTATAGTTTTGTCATATCCAACGAATATTTGAACATAAAATTTTCGGCTCCCTGGATTGTCGGCATCAAATAGGCCTTAGAATGACCTTGAAGGTGGGGTGCAGGGGCAAATCCAGGATCACAGCTACTTGTGAAAACTTACTTAATACCTGATCTTATCAGTTATTTTCGAGAGGTTTTCCTAGCAGCGCCTATTTAACCTATCTGACCTCCAGAGGTCATCTTGATCTTGAATTTTAATGCATATTTGAATGTAAAAATTCTCACTCTTTCGATTTCCGGCATCAAAAATAGGGGTTTCCATTAAAAATGTTAGGTTGATTTTGGGTAAGTTTTAACGAGGGAACTATGGTGCTCGTTACAAATGATTTTTGACCAATACTGTTACAGCGGGATACTAGTAAAAAAATACCTTAAAATGACCTTGACAATTTTAATGATCAACGCAGGGTCATTAAATGTGTCCAAAGATTATTAAAAATCGTTAATGGATTTGGCCACGCCAGTTAGTGTAAGTGCAGATGCCTAGCATCGTTTTTTTGGATGTAAAATGTATTTTAAAACCTGCATATAAATAAAGATATAAAAGGAAAACTCCAGAATTGGGAAGTGGAAAATGATGAAAATAGTAGTGTATCTGGAAACGTCGCCTCAACCCGATAACTAACTCGGGCAAACGTGTTAGCGCGGCGGAGCATAGGAAACACTATGCTGTTGCGCGACAGAAATACGTGTGATTCCATACCAGAACACTCATCACGGTCTACTCACAACGCCAGCAGCAGCCGCGGCTGATAGGTACGCGAGACGAACCTCTTCCTAAACAATGCTGCTCCCCCGTAGACAAATGACTAAATTCGCATTTGTCGTGCCCTTCGTACTTCTGTGGTCGCCAAATCTAACTCTTGCTTGAATTTCCACATATTAAATCGTGTACAACGATTCATGAAAATGTTAAATATGTTTCTTTGTATCAAATTTCATGTATATATTTGCAATATTTTGAATTTACGCAGTTGGCATATCTTCCCAGTGTATCCTCAAAGAAGCTACACAATACTGTGAAACTGCTGCACCTACTAGCAAGCTGACTACTGTTACAGTAATACGAAACAAGGACCCGAAAATGTTTTTGAGTAAATTAATAACGTTGTCACTGTCCACCGCTTTGTTTCATTAATAATGGATTTTATGTTTGTCTGTAATTTTGATGACATTCGGCTTGATGTAATATTTTGGGTTATTGAGAAAAAAATATGGTTGTGTTGGTTCGTATGACATACCATACGAAAGACAAGAAGTGGAGGCAGTTTTTTGATTGATTTTAAATTACACTGTTGCCAGTTTTTTACATAAATTCTTTCGAAATGCTATGAGGCACTGGAAAATCGAACTATTCAATCAACTAACATTATTTTTCATAACCTGTATACGATATTTCGATGGCTTGGAAACCATCCAGAAAAACTATACATCTAGATAAATGATAATGATAGAACAAAGGAGTAGTTCTTCACTTTTGAACAAGCGATGGTTTACCGCACGTAACTTAAAATCGATTCGACTTTGTACTGAGGTACATCTGGCTCAATGTATTCTAAATGGGGTGTGCTATCAGCACTTAAAAGGTTTTTATAGACCTTCCGAACATGCTGTATATATGTCACTTTTTTCAAATGTTTTTAAAAAAATTTATTTGAGAGAAAACCTAGTACAGAGGGTGTTAAAGGCGTTACTGAAACAGTGCAGCATTACCTGATCCTGTAAGCGCAATTACTAACAGTATATAATTCAAACAGAAGACAGTAAATCCTTGAATGTGATTATTTATTAGATCCCATGAATGTGATGTTTGAGTTTATTCCCTCTATATCCTAGGTATTAATCTTCTTTTTTTTTCATAAAATATGTTGCTGCTTTCAAAAGAGCCTTTCTTTGTGTCCATATTAGACGATATTTACAGCAAATGTTCGGAGTGTTTTCCTTCTGCTCTAATGCAAGCTTTGCATCGCCGTAGAAAATTTGTTTCATCCCGTTGTATCATGTGTGGATTAATGCGGTGGCTGTTGCTCTCAGTAGGCAGTCAGGTTATGGTTCCGCCTCGCCATATCCATCGGCCTGAATATGTGCGATTTAAAAAATGACGTGCCTTGTGTGGAGGGGTCCCATCATGTTGGAACCACATTGTTGTGCGGTTGGCTAAAGGCGTTGCTTAACATATCAGCCAAATTGGTTTGTAGAAAATTGAAATAAGTTTCTCCTCAGAGTCTCTCTAGTAGTTCAAATGGGTTAATTAATTAACCATTTAGTAGCCCAGCCCATGAGTTGACTCCGAATCTCTCTTGTAAGCAGTCCTGCCGTATCATTCGTGGATTCTCTAGAGCCCAGGGATAAGCTTCATCCGTCAATAAGATTTTTGGAAGAACTGCGAGTCATTTCTGTATTCTTGGAGCACCCTTCTGCAAAACTGGACTCTCTTTGAGTGGTCTTCTGGAAGAAGCGCCTGCACACGTTGTATGTGAAACGGGTGCAGCCACTCTCTGTGTAGAATTCGGTATACTATCGACCCAGCTGCACCAGCATTTTTTAGTTAACTGTGGTATCACATCTTTGGCATCTTCTCTGATCCTCGGCCTTCCTGTTTTTACTGGTCTCCCAAGCATTTCTCCTGCTACGTAGGTACTATGTACACGGATAAATGTATGATGATCTGGAAAATTTGCTCTATGGAGATTTCGGCTCAGATATTCTTCTGCAGTACGTCGAGCATTTTAATTACCCAATCCGTAGATGAAATGCATTCCTGCAGATTCCTGTGAGGAGTACGGCATCTTGCGTCGAGTCACATAAGTGAAATGAGTAGGGCATTATCCACGCATCCCTTTTGTAGTACGGCTGTTTGTTTATAACCTCTACTTGTTTTTATTAACCCAATTGGTGGAGTAATATGGTGGAATTTCCATTACCCTTCTGTTTCCCAAACTATTGTGACGGCCGCCCTCCCATACACAGATACTACATTTCTTTAATTTTCAGTGTTGTCCCTCAATTGTTTTCCCATCATATTCGGAAGGATCAACAATGGCAGATAAAGTGTTGAGTTTAAAACATGCGAATTTCATGATTTATGGTACCTGTAGCATTATGTCTACTTTGCGACATGGACACTTTATCCGCCTACTATTTTTTTGTGCAGGCCTCTTTGAATGTGTTGTAATCTTTTTGACAACAGACAATATTGTAGATTAGCCGATTGCTGTACCTACATTAGCTGGACCAAATTTTGAACAGTCACTTGTTTCTAGCGACACACCATTTGGAAACATATGCGGTAAATTTGAAAAATAACAAAAGAAAACTACGTATCATATAAGTTATTTTCGCTAACTTTTTTGACAAAGTGGTGATGTGTGATTTCCTATATAAGTTAGCATCAAAAAACACCTCAGGGAATTTGACGGGTTATATTAAATCACTTTTATGTGAACGACTAAGTAAACGGCATTGAATTTTTGTTATACTGAGAGACAAACTGTTGACATTAAACCGAGTTTTGAATGGTGTCAGGATGCTGTTGAGAATTGAATAATATCTTGTCAAAATTATGATTGGAGAATATTGATGTCGTGTGATCTGCAAATATTATACACTTGTTCATTTTACAGTTTGGCAGATCATTGATGTGTAGTGTTAGATAAACGATTTTATTTTTTTTTTCAAATTAACATGTTTTCTGTCTGATAAATAAGACGTGATTAAGGACAGGCTGTTATTACTAAAATCATTTTGCCGAGATGTACTTCATAATGTGTGGGTTAGCACTAAGAAGTAATTTTTGGAAATTCATCCTCTTTAGTTACCCCTTAAGTAGTGAAATTGGGGTTGGGCGTATATACGCAATTTCTTATTCCTTCAATTGATATGCTACTATATTTTAGGGCATTTTTCTCACTTCCGACGGATAAGCGAAGGTTTCGATGTTGCATCATGAAAAACATATCTACATTCCGATCTGTCTTTCTGCTTGTATGGCTCCTTGAAGGGAACCACTTGGATATAGATGAAATTTTGATACAAGGTTACTTCTATGTTAGAGACGAAACAGCTTTTTGTTCTACTTCTACTACGAGGCTGCTGCTGGTGGCTTAGTCAACTCCATTTACTATAGTGAATGATTCTTTTTATTTCAGCGAGATCTAGATTTGGAACTTGCAAATAGTCTGGTTACTTTATAGTAATGATCCTGTTTAAAGTTGTTCTTTCTGTCGGTCTTTTTCTTCCCGTTTTTTAGTTGATTGTGTCCATCACCTATTGTAGAGTAGATTTTTACTTTTATTCAATAAATGACCACTCAGAACACTTATTTCAGTTTTTTGAACACGAAATTGTCACTACTATTAAATCCTTTATCCGTTTTTGAATATTACTAATAATTTAAAAGTCTATTGAAATGTATTTCATTCAAGGCCCCAGTATTGATGTACCAGCTCCGGATATGGGCACAGGTGAACGCGAAATGTCGTGGTTGGCTGATACCTATGCCAAAACTATTGGTTATCAAGATATAAACAGTCACGCTTGCGTAACTGGAAAGCCTATCAACCAGGGTGGAATTCACGGCCGCGTATCAGCAACTGGCAGGGGAGTATTCCACGGTGAGTAGGACATAACTACAGAGAGTGAAGATCAATCTCATACCGAGTGACACAGAAATTAGGACACGTTTGTATAGGGTTCATTCTTTCATATGCATATAGAACACAAAAAATATACAAAAAGCTCTTTTAAAAAATGCCCTACGAGATGCAGGTCCTAGAAGGAAGCGTCCTCTACTAGAAATCGATTTTGCTCAAATAACATTTGAACGACACTGTAGACTTCAACGAAGCTCAGTAACTAATTGGGGCCTTGCTGCTGCCCATGGAAAACAATTAACCTTAGATCGATAGGGACGGACTAATGCTAACGCAATGTTTTCAAAAGCCTGTTAATTGTGCTTGAAACTTATTCTATCGTTTTACACTGCAATCCCTAAGAAAAAAAATACAAAGTGAACAATCTAAAATTTAACCTAGCGAGCTGAAAATGTATATGCTGGGGTTTTCCGGATAGCTAATTATGAATCTGTTATCAGAATTACTGTATTTCCAAAACAGGATAACCATATACTGGATGTGGTACCAAATTTAATAAAGCACTGAAACAGGGATGTTGTCCTCAAAAATCGCACATTTTATTAATGGAATTTTTTCAGCTTAAATATTAGTCTGTCCAAAAACCTTATTGTTCGGTCAATAGGCTCAAAAATACTTAGTCAACAGCTCTGACATGAGCAAGCAATTTGACGAAACGGCGTTAAGACTCGAAATGCATCACAAAGTGCCATCTATGATTTAATAAACGTCATTTCTAATTTTGAAGTGACTGCAGCAATGTCTCTTGGACTCCTTCTGTTATAAAATCTTTTAATCGTTAGCCCTAGGTTGAATTGTTGCCGAAATACAGCCGTCGTCCTTTATTAATGGCCCACTCTCAGGGGTTTATGTAGAAAACGTAAAAAACGACAAAATGTCATCTTGCAGACAAGGTAGTTTTTAGTGAGCAAATAGTTCATTTCACGTTTGCTCGCTATGATCGCTCTGAGCGTCCTGAAAAGCGTCGATCTATGGAGGAATGACTCAACGACACGACACGCTCAAGCATGCATTGTTGGTTGCAGAAAGCCAAGTAGTGTTTATCTCTGAGAAGATGTGAAAGGCAGAAAGTTGATTGAGTAGCATGATCGCATCTGGTTGATTATGTGTATTGGTCTGCATGTGTATATATTTGCCATGTGAGAAAATTATTACTGAATATGCTGCCAATGAAGTTTATCTATAAGCTGTGCCCGACGGGTTTTTTATATGTTGTCCTTTCTGAAAACAGGTTATGTTCAAAGTTATAAATTAATTTTTTCCGTTTTTTTCTTGTGTGTTTTCAAAAACTTTAAGGATAATTACGGGAAATCACCACCGCGCCCGCGTTGTGTGGAATTACTGTTAGCATGTACATATATGACTTTTAATTGGAGTGTGTCCAGTGAAGATAACTGCAAGATGTGGCAGTATTAGGGATTCTTCTTTCTCTCTCTTTTTGAAATTCAGCAAATTTGCATATGTAATTTCCAGAATGAATAAGAAAACGTGGATGCGCAACTAATTTATAACTTTAACTTATAATTATTTGACAAACCATACCACTTTTGATTGTGATTTGAATAGTATACATGACTGTCATTTGATCAATCTATTAATTTTTAATTGGAATAGGTATCGAAAATTTTCTGAATGAGGAGAACTACACCAAAATGTGCGGTCTAAGTAAGCCAGGCATTAAGGATAAGACAGTTATCATCCAGGGTTTTGGTAATGTTGGCCTGCACAGTATGAGATACCTGCATCGGTATGGAGCGAAAATCATCGGTGTCATCGAGTGGGATGGAGCTATATTCAATGAAAATGGAATGGATCCAAAGGTAGGAAAATACGGAAATAACACATAATTGTAGTAGTAATACTTTATTGTTCTTTCCAACACATACAATGTATTGAATTTGTCAAAGAAAAAAGTGAATATAAAATTTAAAATATAACAAATAATAATCTACAAACATTTGGACCTTACAAAACACAAAATTCCGAGACGACGTAATAAGAATTTTTTATAAAAAACTGCTAAGTTTTATTTTGAAAAATCTCATATCTTTGGCACTTCTTATGTCTGCTGGTAAAGTGCTAAAAATGGTTGGCCTTAAATACCTTGGAGACTTCCTGGATACATTGTGTTTCACAAAAAGTATATAAATATAATTGTCTTGTATTTAGTCCGTGACCATATTTATTTTTTAAACAGGTTTCTAAATTCACATACATTAACACAGTCAATTCATATGTATATAGAAAAAGTCATTCATTTACATGAAAATTTCAATCATAATCTAGTCTCTTGTACCTTTGATAAAGAAAATAGCAAATTAAGGGATACAGCTTTTAACAAATTTAAAAGAACTGGTCAACCGGCACATTGGGCCTATTACAAAGAATTGAGGAATTTTGCGAAAAATGTTATGCATCGTAAAAAAAAAACATTTATGGATTATTCGCTTAGACAAAAGGATACCAAATTAACCTGGCAACGATTGCGTCAAATAGGTGTCATAAAAAAATTAATGACGCTATTTCACAATATTTGAATAACCCCGATGAAATCAACACATACTTCTCGAACCTCCCTAAAGTAAATAGAACTCAATTCCAGGTGAATTTATTACATAAATATAATATTGGGCCTAGTAATAACCCTAGTGATTCCTTTGAGTTTTGTTCAGTAACTACAGCTGAAATATCTACTTGCATCAAAGCTATCAAAACAGAAGCAACTGGTCATGACACTATATCATGGAAAATGCTACTGTCATTAGAGAACCGCTTAATAAATCATATCACATATATAATAAATTGCTGTCTTACTTCGTGTATATATCCGGATACGTGGAAAATATCAAAAGTAACACCTAAATACCTAAAATATCTAATCCAAAATGATCTGACTTAAGACCAGTCAGTATTTTACCAATATTATCAAAAGTAATATAAAAGATAATGCAACAATAAATTTCCGAATATGTTACAAATAAATCTATTTTATCACAGATTCAACCGGGATTCCGCAAATATTATGATAACTACAACAGCTTTAGCTTGCATAGTCGATGATTTAATGTTTTCAGTCGACAACACCAAAATTGTTTAGTGTTACTTGATTACAGCAAGGCTTTCGATACCATTGACCATGACTAAATTTTAATGCTTTGGCTTCAGCTGTTCCGCTGTGCAACTTATAAAAAGTTTTCTGGTAGAAAGGTACCAATTTGTTTGAACGATTCCAATAAATCCCCCATAACAATGGGAGTACCTCAAGGCTCCATTCTTAGTCCTTTATTATTCTCTCTGTATATTTCTAACAATATAAAGTACTGCAATGTTCATCACTACACAGACGACACACAATGATATTATGGTTTTCATATCAATGATGCATCTTTTTCCTTTGATTTGATCAACAATGATCTAAATACCATGTATTACACTTCAGCTGCTCATAATTTAACACTGAATGCTTCTAAATCAAAAGTTATGATTTTTGGACGAAAGCAGAAACGAATCATTTAGTAGAAAGTGAAAATCTATATCGGCTCAACATCAGCATTCCTTTACCAGTTGTAACTGTAAGCAAAAATCTGGGTTTATGGTTGGATAATGAACTAAAATTTGACCATCATATAAAGAAATTATGTTCAACATCTTATGGTATCCTCAAAGACATTTACTAAATAGTAAATTAAACTTACAGCTATGTGATTCACTAATCATTTCAAGGATATCTTATTGTGACGCAGTATATGGACCCGCTTTATTACAAAGTGATATCATCAAGCTGCGGCGACTGCAAAATTCTTGTTTCCGTTACTGTGTTGGCATTAGAAAATATGATCATATAAATCATGCTTATAAGGAAAACTCAAAGTTGAATCTAAAAAATCTTAGAATCTATCATTCACTATCCCTAGTCCATAAGACCTTAATGAATAAAAACCAGAGTACCTTCTCTATAAGCTACAAAAATTTGAAGACGTTAACAACTTAGCAATAATAAATAGACAATCTCTAGTTATACCACACCACTCTACTTTGTTATACAAGAAAAGTTTTTCATACACTGTGGCCAAATTTCAAGAAAGAATTAAAAGCAATGCTTCTATCTACCTCCTGTACCTGATAATGAGTTCAATTTTCAAAAATTCAGCTAAAATAAGGCTGACTATGATTTTTCGAATCATATCAGACCGGCCTCATGATTTTGTATCTTAAAGGTTGCTCAGGAACTTTTATTCCTTGAATCACTGTTTATGCGATTTAGTGATCTGCTATGCGGCATATATTATGTGTACGACATCGACTCTTCAATACGAACATATATGTTGAAGTGTTGCAACTTATAATAACTTACATATCACTTATATAGGGCATATCAAAAAAGTGCTAGTGATTTTTCTATGACTTCCATGATGAACCAAATTTTGTATGCAAAATAATTGGATGAAAAAACTAATGAAATAAAAATCACTTAAACTTTGTTTTTTTGTCGTTTCACAGGCTCCTGATCATTTTCGGAATAAAAACTGTAGGGGTTAAAATTGGGAGTTTAGGGTTTGCAGGGGGTGGGGGAGGGTATATCTCAATTTTTGACGTTGATATATTTATACGCTTCCAACCTCAGTAATTATACGCACCTATTAGGCATGTTTCACTCATCATAGATGTCCTCGTGGATTTACCCTTAAAACTTAGAAATACCTCCAACAGTCGCGCGTCAATGCATGGGACGTGGTCCCCCAATGGACGTGCGTCGTATGCCAAGTCGATTATCACTTCCGCACTACTGTGGCCTGTGTGCAGGATGAAGGCCAATATCGTCATTCACGCGGGATTAGTCATCGCAAAGGTCATTTGCGCCTGCACGAATTTGTCTCAGGGGGAGCAGGAAGGTCATTTGATGTTTTTTTTATACATTTTCGTTTCCAACTATGTTTTCAGAACTTGTGCCAAACATAATCCTGTACGACCTGATGACAGCGTAGCGTGGGAAGTACAGAGTCAAGTAACATTTTTTTCAAAACAAAAATTTATTACGTATGAGTGATACGAAACAGGAAATAAAAAATCTTGACACTAGTTTGGAGCAATCATAACTTACCCGAAGTTTTACATGAAGAATCTTTTCAAGGCTTTGAAGTTTTGGGGTCACGTCAAAATAAAAAAATAAGTAACCTGAGATGATTGTCTACTGACTACTGTCAGTAGTGTCAAATTACCACGGTCCACTTTAATGGTCATAAAAACTTTTCTTTCTCCGCCCTTCGTTATTTGATATCGTTGTCAGAACTAACGTAAATGTTAATTTATGAAAGTTCGAAAATTTGAAATCTTTAAGACGCTGCATAAGAAATTTTGATATGAAATGATCAGGTGTGTTAAACTATAATGTCACTTGTCGATAATGTTTGTCTCTACATTAAAAAAATATGCAAAAAATTCTATCAACCTGCAATTATTTCCCAATTTTTAAATTAGCCACCTTTTTTAGCACCATTTTAATAATCGAGAACAAAAAACTATTGTCTCCTGTGACGGAGAAAAAAAGAAGGTCATTGTAGCCAAGCTAGAGTTTTACCCTAACTCAAAAATACTATTTCATCAAGTAGAGGCATTGAATCCTAATCCCTTCAAGGTTTCTTATTTGCTGCGGCTAACATTAATTTCTTCCCTTTTTGCATAGTTTGAGGTTGGACGTTTATCATGTTTTGTGAAGTCAAATTCTGTATATATATTATCATAATCATTTTTGTTCAAGTACGCAAATTATCCATTTTAATATACAGGGTGACTTCGAAGTTGAGTCATTTATTTTAACAGTGAGTAGATCTGATCAAAATAAATGTTTTTTTCCTTTAACATTTTTCTGGTAAAATTAAAGTAACAAAGTTATAGCCCTTTAGAAGTTTGAGTACCGCCCTGTCTCAATAATAATATTATGTGCTCGTGTTTGGCAACAACGGATATAATCCGCCTTATCGGTTCATCGCATCGGAAACAAAAAAGCGAAAGAATTTGAAACGCTGATCACGATGTTTTTATTCAGTCAATGTGTCAGTGAATAGTGGTGTTTGCTGCGTGGCTCAAACGAAATAAAAAATGGCACATGTTTATGCCTTTGTTAATGTAGTACAACGGGCTCGTGAATCAGGTGACTTAAGACCTCACAGGGGAGGGCATGCCGGTGCTCCAAGGCCTCACGATCAAATACAGGTCCGCACTGAAATACTTGTCGGGAGGATACTTTATAAAACAAGGTAATTTTTTTTTTATTTTCCCCACATATTTTGGTTTATCTTCCTTCTACAATCATTATCTGAAAATTAATGACTCAACTTCAAAGTCACCCTGTATACCACATACCTTTTTAAGTACTTAAGTACTCCTCTCCAAATGAAACATCCTGTATGACATCTATGAATATCTACCTAATCAGTATATCGATTTTTCTGTCAGGAACTTGAAGATTATACACTAGCGAACGGTACTATAATGGGATTCCCCAACGCTAAGAAGTACGATGGCAATCTACTGTTTCATGAATGTGACATCTTAGTACCAGCAGCCGCAGAAAAGGTTATTCACAAAGAAAATGCGGATCAGGTAATTTAACAAATTTATACAAAGTTATATAAGATATTAGAACATATCAAATGTTTTATATATTATAATGTGGAAGATTTTAAGAGCAAAAATGAAATGTTTGTTACGGCGGTTCGGTAAGTCAAATAACATTTATTTATGTTGGACGTTGAATCTTTTTATGCTGGGATGTAAAATGAAAGACGCTAAAATAATATGATAAAGTTATTATGGACAGTAAATATTTGTCCAAGTTGTATTTCGGGGATCCTCTTGAGCCGGCTATAGGTCGAAGTGGTATATCTTCTTTGTGAACCTTTGGTAAGTCGTGAAGGTGTAGTGGATTGCTGAAGTTTGGTGTCATCATTCTTTTGTTATTTTCTGTTCAGTATTCTTTATACTTTTCAACCTTTGAGTCAGTTGTCTTTCAATTTTGTCCGTTAGACCCTTTGACCCAGTGAGAGATAAGGGGAATGTCACAGTTGAGGTAGTAAGTGATGCAATTAGAAGAGTAGAAAGATGATACCAAATCGAAACTAGATTTTCCAGGAACACCACACTTCGCAGTATCCTCACAAAGATAAAACCTATGAACAAAAAGCAAAGCATCAAGGATTGTGTATATCAGGTACCATGTCACTGCCAACCACCAAACGGTATAATATTCAAGAAAGGAAGCATGGTCGCTATTTCACCTGATGACAATTGAACATCACATCAATCGAAACGTCGTGAAACAAACAGCTTTATACACAGTAGAAGTCCGAAAAACAACATCTTAAGTTTCCTCACTAATTTTTCATGTTGATATCATGATAATAGAAAAAAAAACGATTTTGAAAATTTAACCTCAACACCCTGTTTTCCATTATATTTTACTAACGCAATTCCCAATTTTAATCTATGTTTTTGGTTTATTCATTACGAATTATTTAATAAAACCTGTCTTAACTAGATCAAGGCAAAAGTGATAGCAGAAGCAGCCAACGGCCCTCTGACACCAGCAGCGGATCAGATGCTGTTGAAGCGTAATGTAATGATAATCCCAGACTTATATTTGAACGCCGGCGGAGTGACGGTATCTTTCTTCGAATGGTTGAAAAACATTAATCATGTTTCTTATGGCAGACTGACCTTCAAGTATGAGAAGGACTCGAATTACTACCTTCTTCGTAAGTATAGTAGAGTAATACTGTATATTTCGAAAAATATATACATGTACAAAATTAAAGTTGTGAGCACAATTAACTCGAAAGTTTGTGCGTGCCCACATTCAATGAAATTATAAACAGTACAAAGTCTGAGAGCATGAAACAATAAAAAAAAAACATTTAAAAACTACAAAATGAATTGATTTTAAGAAAGCAATTGCTCAAGACTTGTCTCAGGTATCAATGAAATAATTTTATATTTAATTTTTTCTTACGATTTTGTTCTGAATTATATGCCTTGGGCGATGTGTATAACAGAGATTTTTTAGTAAATGACAAATTAATTTTAGGCACGGGTAAAGTTCCGCTTTTCTGAAATATTGTATCTGCCTGGATTTGTCTGCTGACTTTGTTGATGTTATTTTGTTTCACAGTAACTTAACGACTGAGGTGACGTATTTGACAAATTTGAAGTGCACCCTCCTCCCTGGACAATTCATTGGTAGGATACATTATGTTTAAATAGATAAGTCTTCTTCAACAATGCTTTCCGTGATATTATAAGTGAATTTAGAACAGTCTTAAAAGTAGCCCCCTCCAAATACAAATACCATAACTGAGTATACATTCTTCTAAAGTTTTACATACGCACAATATACTTTTTTGGATTGACTTAATATATAAAATTTATAGAAAAGATTCAGTATTTTTTTATTCACATAATCAATATGAATATCCTACCTCAAATGACAATCAATGAATACTCCCTAAACTCATTTTATACTTGTTGCTCCTCTCACTACAGTACTATATACACAATTTTAATGATTATGACAACTGATACTATGTATGGTAATAGACTCAACTTTTGTCAACTCTGACTTATTGGTAGCATAATAGATATTTAGACATCACTGTTTAAGGTAACGAATGAAGCCAATCTTTTGCAGTAGAAATGATCGATTCTGCCTTATTTTTAAAAATTTTCGCAAAAGATACCACACTGTCTCTTAGCAGTACTGAGAACAGACCATCTATATGTCGTGGTCATATCGTAGTATTGACCATTTCATGAAATGATCGAGCATTTCATAAAGTGGGCCAACTAAATTTGACCATATCGTTAAATCGTCAACGTTTAGCGATTTGGACATCCACAGTTGATCATATCGTATGATAGGCTGTCCATCGAATATTTAACAAAAATGCAGAATATGTTACAAACTCTTTTATTTTTCAAGTTAGACAGCCATTTTGATTAAAAGTAGTAACTTTAGGAAATTAAAATAGTAATTATATTAAAATATTCTTGAATTGCACAAAACGTCTCAAATAAAATTCTTGAACATATCAGATATCACAAATGAATTACCTCGCGTGGATACCCTACTCTGCTTTATTTCACGTTTAACCCAAAAATAAAATAAAAATTACGATGAGTTTTACATAGTAGTTCAATAGACAAACGACATTAACGACTAAATATTCTACGATTTGATCAAACATGCTTGACCATGTCATGGAGTAGCCACGTGTTTGATAGATCATATCGTTTAACAATTTGTTATCATTGATCTGGTCAACGCACACCATGATCTGGCCAATAAACAATGTTACATTTCATGAAATGCAACCATTTCATGCAATGCTCGATCATTTCATGAAATGTTCAATTTTACGGTATGTCCACGACATAGGTAAGGTGAATAATAGAGGCCCGAGATCCGTACCCTGGGGCACATAATCCTCTACCAGTCTCCATATAGATATACACTGAGAACAACAGTTGTCTGTCGGCTTGAGTTCAATGTGTACGAGAAAGAAGTGTGTATAGACACATTATGTTAGAAAGAGATAGAAGCCGCCTGGATATCGAAGCTCATCACTGCGTTGCCAATATATTACACCAGTTCCTTGAAATAAGATACATGTTGACAATATGCGTTAGTTTATTCTTTACTCCCAAATAATGGTTTTGTTGTTAACGGCGCTCGATTTTAGGCCGAAATGAAAGGCCAGGAGCGCCACAAATTCTGCCACATTGCATCGTTGGTTCGTTTAATAATCGCAAATTATACATTCCAAAGCAAGGTTTCTACGTCCATGATCATAGTTGAGCGATTTTGGTCAGTACCCATCTAGCGTTCGTAGGAGAGTGTCATCCAGCTTCGAAATGGCTTTCACCTGCGTACACGCAGGCAGTGATAATTTTTATTGCGTAACGTTATTTGTGACATTTTCCGACTTCAGCGCTGTGGCAAAATTTAAGAATAACTCAGATTTTATCACAATCGGTGGTAATCAAAGATAAATCTAAAATAAATTGAAACACTAATCGCATCAAAATTGAAATAGATGATTCTAATCAAAATGAAAACAAAATATTAAATATTTAAACAGCTCTCCTTGGGTTTGTCAGCTTGTGCGAACATTTTCTGGTGTAACACATTTTCAACGCGGCAGATTGCACGACCTTCTGCGTCACGATTGATAAGCAATGTGGTAATGACCTTCGCTCTTCAGTCGGCCTATATATCTTTCTAACATATGTTGATATACAGTTCTCGCGCTTCTCTCTCGTACACATTGAACTTATTTAAGCAGTCAGACAAATTTGGTTTACCCTGTATAAGAAAACATTCTGATTTTCAATTCTTGTGCGATACAATACCTCTCTCGCCGATTCGGGTGGAAATAAACGAGGTTGGCTGCAGTCTTGAAAAATAACATTTTTTATTTGTAGAGTCAGTTCAAGAGTCGCTGGAGCGGAATTTCTCAGAGAAAGGAAAGATACCCATAGTGCCTTCTATGTCTTTCCAAAAAAGGATAGCCGGTGCTTCAGAAAAGGACATTGTGCATTCAGGTCTTAGTTACACTATGGAACGATCGGCTAAGGTGAGTTTATTGTGTGTGCTGCACTTTTTACATATATTTAGAAAAACGGTGATAGATATGCCCCTACGTTCCTTGGCTCATACGACACGTTTTTTAGTGAGTAGTCGCTTTTCAATGATATCTTCTGTTGTTACGTTCATTTTTTCCGTCGATGCGTTGATTTGCTCTCTAGCCTGGCGCGCTCTGTAAGGATTCAGAGCAAATCGGCGCATCTGGCGGAAAATAGAACATAACATGTTTTAGAGAAAGGGTTATTTTCTGAAATGTTGTATTCCAATGGAATATAATAATAACAATAATCTTTATTTTCCATATTATACGTACATTTCACACACACACAAGAAAGAAAATAATGATAATGGGAAAACCTCAAGATGGAGTTCACCAAGACATCTTCTTCCACTCAGCCTTTACCAGCAGTAGAATACATGTAAAAAATAGCCTAACCTAAAACTAACCAAAAAAACGCACATTGAGTCCCCTAAATTAAACATGGAAATTTTAAATAATTTAATTGTTCATAAAGTAATCCAAAACTAGTTCCTTAAATTTATGTGGTTTGCATGATTTGATATAATAACTTAGATAATCATAATATCTAGCAATTGTAAGTTTGAAGCTTCTTTCTAAAAGAACTGTCTTGAGAGATGGTATATTGATTAGGTTTTATGTCTCGTGTCAACATTATGCACATCTGCACAGAAAGCATATAAGCACAATCTTTTGTCCACGTTTAGCCAATTTAATTCCTTTAGTTTGTGTGAGTCGTGCTCATACTCTAATCCATATATGAATCGAATGCATGATTTCTGTACATGTTAAATACGATTAAGACTGTTTTGATCTAGACATGGACCAAATACAGATGCAGTGTAGATAAATTGTGAAAGTACTAGATGATCGCACAACATTTTCTTAGTGTCTGCGGATAAATATGAGTAAGCCCAGATTCTTTGCCTTACCTGTAATTTGATTATCAGTATTATTTGCATCTATTTTAAGGTTTGATTCCAAAAACTGGCGATCCGATTTTTTAGCAAATACCATACCATCAAGATTTTGCCTTCAAAAAGTATATTGTATTTTCACTTTTTTCTTACAATCGATGCGTAAACTTTATCGTCGAAGCTGTGACGTATCAAGTTCGAAAATGACGAAATAAGTTATTCCATACCCTGTCCTTAGAATGGACTCGTATGTTGACTGCTTTTGCCATGGTGCTCAGGTTTCCGATAGTTGTGATCGAAAATCTTACAAATCGCGTGCAACATAAAAAATATTCTCCCGGATATCTAACGAACCGGAATACAAAATGTGTAGGTGATTTAAATATTTTTGGCAAAATTGTTTACGTAAATGATTGAATGGTGACAGATCACGATCTCAATTTGTATTTAACTGTCTCCATATTAGTTACTGATATACCGATGTTTTAAATTCGACCCTCTCCATTGTGATCTCGGAAACGGGAAGAGATACGAATTCTCTTAAATGGGGGCCCCAGTTGTGTATTTCGATAACTAACAAAATGCCGCTTAGGAAGTTTCGAAATTCAAAGTACTTCCGAAGAGAGGCAGAAAAAAATAATTTTCTCCAAATCGTTTTGTTTCCTGACTAATTGTAGTCGGATTTCAAAATAAATTGCACATCAACATTACCGCTTTTCTCCTCTACAAGATGATTAGAATTTTAATACTACGTTTCGTCTCTTGTCCTCCAGTGTCAACTTCATTTTTTTAAGGACGCCATTTTGGATTTTTCCACAGGTGAATAGAGTTCTTAATTCGGATTCCAAAAATGTCATGTCATACATTGACACTGCCAAAACCTTAGTTATTAAAAAAAAGAGATAATTTCCTATAGTAGGCCTTGAAATTAGATAGTCATTTGTTTCAGATTTATCACCAAATCATTTTTATTTTTTCTTTACTTTATTTGAGATGGATTTTCAAAACAAATTGCATGTTGTTATTCCTACTTTTTCTCCTCTTCAAGATGGCGTAGTTAGTCAATTTCTAGATATCTTCTTTCGACTCCCATTACCAACTTTATTTCTCATATGGAGGCTATATTGGAATTTTATACATTTAAATGGACTTGTAACTCCTAAATTTAGTCATGAATTGTTGTTTGAATGATGATTATAAGGCAATAAAAGAAAATTTATGAATATTTCAAATTGAATAGAGTTTGGATGACCCAGAAAAAGGAAAATAAACCGAGCAGTGAAGAGTAAGGCTTTGCTTACAAAATAACGGACAACGTTTTGAGCATCAGCTATGATTTACCTTTGCTTATTTATGAGTATTATTGTTATCACCATCAATAAAATGTTCATGTTGTATTCAGGTTTCTCCATACCTTTTTATTTCCTTATAATCTTCACCCAACAACAAATTCATGACCAACTAAGGAAATACATCACTGAATTCAGGACTGAAAAGTCCATTTAAATGTACAAAATTCCAATATAGCATCTACGAGTATATGAAAAAACAAAGTTGATGATAGCAGTCTAAAGAAGAAACCTTGAATTGAAAATTTGACTACGCCATCTTGTAGATGAGAAAAAGTGACAATGACGTCATGTAATTTACTTAGAAATCCTATCTCAAGTAAAGTCAGGAAAAGTAAAAAATGAATTTGCGATAAATCTGGTATACGAAACAAATGATTATTTCATAATTTCAAGGCCTTTCTAGGAAATTCTGTTCTGAAATAACTATGATCTGGAAACGTCAATGTATGACATATTATACATTTTTGGAATCAGAAATCTAAACTTCATTCACCTGTGCAAAAATGCAATATGGCTTCCATAAGAAAAAATAAAGTTTGTTGCTGGAGGACAAGAGACAAAATGCCATACTGAAATTCTCATTATGCCATCTTGTAGAGGAGAATAGCAATGTTGATGTGCAGTTTATTTTGAAATTCCACTACAAAATAAAATCAGGGAAAAATTAAATCCATTTTGGAAAAATTCTTTTTTCCGTCTCTCTACTCTAAAAGTTGCTAATTGCCAAAATTTTCGAATGTCAAACATCTTTAAAATAAAACCAAACTCTCAACATCAGTGGATAGAACATTTTGCCTCCCGTTCTCCCATCAATTTGACTGAGTATTGAGGAAATTTTAGACTATGATCTAGTCTCTTAAAGGCAGGCTCTACTTTGAAAACTTTTTGAAAATAGCCACTGAGAGAATTAAAAGTTGGAGTATGACTAAGTGGAACTGTGGCATATTTTTCACCTGTGTATGTATATCATTTCGTTTATTGTCCAGAAAAGCATTGCAATTACTAAAATAAATTGTAGTTAATTAACACTAATGTCGTTTTTGAGATTGCATGAAGATTATTTAGAGTTATTTTCAATTAACATCGCATCTTGTGTTACATTACATGTTTAGTTGATACGTGGTATAACGAATTTCTGTTTCATAGATTTATTGAATACAAACCTTACCGCAATAATTACAAGTTCAGGTTATCCTAGAAGATAACTTATCGGATTCATGTAGAACATAAAAATCATGTGAATAGTTTCTATAAAAATGTCCTTCGCTTTTTCCGTAAAAAGGTGCAGAATTGTAAAAGAGGTCATTGGAAATTAACTTTTCTTCTACAACGTTCGATATTCCAACATGATGCTATCGTTTTAAGACCTTCCAACATCTCTTCTTGAAATCCTCCAAATTGTTTCGTTTACATATAGTGGTGGCTCATAGATGTTAATTGTTTACGCCATGTACCAGGTAGCACTTTGATAAGAGACGCCGGTTTGAAAAGAAAGATTATTGGAAATTACTTTGCGCTTCCTAAAATGGTCGCTAGAAGTCGATGTCAAACCGGAAACGGGGGATAGTCCAAGTTATAATAGTTATCAGAAAGATATAAAAAAAGTCTAAGTCGTGTACTTTTCAAATTACGGGCTTTGAAAAAATCCGAAAAATCTACACCCTGTGATGATCATTTAGTTCGCATTACTACAAATTTCAATTTTTTTCTTCGACGGAGTGATGGACAGTCATTTTACGTAGTGACAGCAAGACAGATAGTAACGCCATTTTATATATATACAGGGTGACTTTGAAGTTGAGTCATTAATTTTCAGATAATGATTGTAGAAGGAAGATAAACCAAAATATGTGTGTAAAAATAAAAAAAAAATAAAAAAAATTTTTTACCTTGTTTTATAAAGTATCCTCCCGACAAGTATTTCAGTGCGGACCTGTATTTGATCGTGAGGTCTTGGAGCACCGGCATGCAGTCTCCTGTGAGGTCTTAAGTCACCTGATTCACGAGCCCGTTGTACTACATTAACAAAGGCACGAGGGGTTGGTTGCACTCGATTGGGAAACCGATCCTCATAAATATGTGCCATTTTTTATTTCGTTTGAGCCTCGCAGCAAACACCACTATTCACTCACGCGTTACCGACTGACACAGACTGAATAAAAACATCGTGATCAGCGTTTCAAATTCTTTCGCTTTTTTGTTTCCGATGCGATGAACCGATAAGGCGGAGTACATCCGTTGTCGCCAAACACGAGCACATAATATTATTATTGAGACAGGGCGGTACTCAAACTTCTAAAGGGCTATAACTTTGTTACTTTAATTTTACCACAAAAATGTTAAAGGAAAAAACATTTCTTTTGATCAGATCTACTCACTGTTAAAATAAATGACTCAACTTCGAAGTCACCCTGTATATATATATATATATATATATATATATATATTAATATACAGGGTGTTACATAATTATTGCGACAAAATGATAGGGGTTGTAGAGGGCATAAAAATATGCAATTTTGCCTTATAAACCCCTGTTCGTAAATATGCCGTTTGAGCACTACAGTTAATTTTACCTTAAGAGCTCATAGGAGAAACAAAAAATTCACCAGCTGCAAAATGTTCGTCTAGCACATTTCATGGTCTCACCGGTTTGTAAAAAAAGCCTGCTGTGTTTACATTTTTGTTATCGTACACCCGT